CCCAAAACTGAGTAAAACTGAAATAAATGAAGAGAACTGAAAGAAGGTAGGATGATGACATGTGAATTATAATTAAAATGATTCATAGGTGATACTGAACTTGAGGGGGCAAAGGAATGAAATTGTGATATCTAGATATCTGTGTCTATATCTATATGTGTATATATTTTGAACAATTGTTTGTTGTTCAAAACAGGGTTTTAAAACACAATTCCAAAGTTACCATTAATTAACGCACTGTCTCAAATATTCAAAATATTTCATATGATAACAAAATAAAATGGTGAAATACCTGAAGCAATATGATGTATTATTGCACGACAGTTCATATTTTCCATTGACAACATTGTGCTAATATTGATAATTATATTTTACATAATCCATTTTTAAATGTTGTTTTGGATTGCTAGCTTGATGAATATCAGAAAATTAAGTATGGTTTTCCTATAAAAAACATGGTCAAGTCTGTAAAATGCACAAGGAAGTAATCTATAAAGCAATAATTCAAAAAACAGTAACATGCATATAGACAAGAAGAAAATATAGAGAGCTATGGTTATCAAGGGAAGAGACATATCTAGACATATCTCTCATATTTTCATATGTATAAAATTATAGCAGAAAAATATAAAAAAGTAAAGCTAAAATGGTTAGCTAATGTTAGTTTTCAGGTAGTTCAGAGGATACTGCTATATGTTCGCACACAAAAATAACAATTATTGGAGATACAATTCCAAATTATTTAAATAAACTAATTTGTTTATTGTACTAATTAAAATAAAAATGTGTAATATACATGAGATGCTCTCTCTCTGTGTATATTATAGAGATATACATAGATATACATTGATAGATATAGGTATAGTATAGTTCATTTGTATAATTTGACTGCATATAAATATCAAGGACAGTTTACAGTATAATTAAATATAGTGAATGCAGTTGAGGGTTGATAGCTAAAGTTGAAGGGAAATACTTTGTGTTTCCAAAGTAAAGATATTATTATGCCAACTTTATTCCATTTTCAATATTCATTTTCATATAATTTTAGATTAAGAAAAACGCACATGATGTTTTGCCACGTTATTTTGGTGATTGACACAAACCTCTTTATATAATTCAATGTTCTCTTTTTGAAAACTGCAGGACTGTGGCACATGAGCTAGTGACTACAGTTTCAATTGCATTAACCGCAGAGCTGTTTAGGAGGGCCTCTGGGTCAGCATATATGGAGGGATGATATGAGAACTAGAAGTTATCAGGACAACCATTCTAAGGCAGAGAGGATAATTTGAGGCAGACGTCAAGCAGACATGGCTATTGCAGTCTAGTAATTCATTCTTATCCAGTTCAATACCATCAGTATACTTTATTAAGATGATGCCATTTTAAACCAAAGCTTTTAATTATGCTCACCTACCTACCAACTCTTCAGGGTCTAGTTTATGTCAAGTATTTTCCAGGAACTTGACACTTACTATTTCATTTAACCATCCTAATAAACTTGACATGCTAGGATTATTATCCTTGTTTTACAGATGACAGACAAAAGGTGCCGAAGGTCATACAGATCTGCTTGGCTCCAAAGCCCAATTTCTTCACATATGCCAGCCACAGCAATGAACCCAAAAATACATAGTCATAGTCACATTTTATCTAGGGCCTACCAGATGCCAGGCTCTACTCTATTGGGTTGTCAGAAAAGTGATGATGTATTTTTTCTGTGTTTTTTGTTGCAAAAATGTGTCATGACTTTTCCGACAACCCAATATATTACCCCTAATCCTCACGAAGGCACTGTGAAGTTCTTATTTCTGATCTCCCATGCAGTAGTTGAGGAAACTAAAAATAAGAAATGTCTAGAACTCCCAAGTTTAAGTTTAATAGCTCTAAATCCTTTCATTTTATCAGTTAATTTTTGTCTTCTTTCATTCTAAACTTATTTTACTCTTTATCTGCCTAACTATGGTAGCTTGAAATGGCCCAAATTTCTCTTTCCTGCATTCATGGTTCTTTGGCTTGTCCTTCCTCCATTAAGTGATGAAATTTCTTTCTGCCCTCTTATATCTTGGGTTGGCTGACTTGCTCTGATCAATGGGACATAGTAAACATGATGCAAGCAGAGTCTTAAAAAATACCTGAAATTTGGCACTTGCCTACATACAACTGGAAATCCTGTCACAATGGGAATTGTGCTAGTCTATGTGATAATCAGAGGCATATTGCCATCACCCCAGATGACATTAATTTGACTATTGTACATGAGAGCTCCCTTCCCTTCAAATGCACCCAGCCTGCTAACTACTAAACATCTAGACTCATCCAAGTCAGCATACATGTGACTCAAACAACTCTTAGAACTATAATAAATGTTTCTTGTTTAAAGCCACTAACTTTTGGAGTTGATTGTTACACCACCTTACGCAAGACCTTACAGTACTCTTCCCAAATCATACTAGGATCATCTCTGAAGAACTGAATTATATTAAAGTCACTAACTTGCCTAAGCAGGCCTCTATCTTTGGTAGGAACAACATTCTACTAAGAATTAAGATATCTAAAATAATGCATTGATTTAAAATTTGTGTATTCCTCATGGTGAGGGATTATGTCATAAGCATCCAAGGTGTTAATCAATATACAAATCTTAGAGGCATTTCTGATCCTTTCCCTGTTCTGTTCAATTAAATGTCATGCCTCTTCAAAATATTTCATTACCGCTGACACATCCCTAACTCTTGGGTTGTCAGAAAAGGCATGACGTATTTTCTCTATGTTTTTTGTTGCAAAAATGTGTCATGACTTTTCCGACAACCCAATAATTTTCCAGTCATCTTGTACTTGTACTACTAAAACAGCCTCCGTCTGCCAATCTCTCATCATCTACACTGACTTCAGAGATATTTTTCTCATATCAAGAACTGATAATGTTACAATGTAACATTCCATTGACTTTAGAATTTTTTTTAATTAAAAAGTAGTTCATGTTTTTATGTTTGTTTGTTTGTTTTTCCAGGATAAAAATACGAACTCCTTGGCATGTGTTATAGAATTATTCACAATCTGCCTCATTGCATCTTTCCAGTCTCTTTTACAAGAACTGTTCCATTGTACTGTGCACCCAGCACGTTTCCTTAAAAGTATCACAACTTTCACATATCCATGTTTTGGTTCATTCTCCTTCCTTTTCATGGGATTCCCTTATTGTCCCTGTTCCCTTTCCTCCTTGAGAAATGAGGATGCATCCTTCAGAATCTAGGTTGTCACCTTCAATTTCGGCCACTTAGAAATCACTTTATGAATGCATCCTCTGTGCCAAGCACAGACCAGTGGCCGGAGGATAAATAATAATTATGATGCTCTCTGCCCTCAAGGGCCTTGCACAAGAGAAAGGAAAACATGCACACTGAAAAATAAAACGCAATGTCTTAGGTGTAAAAACTGAGGTAAGCATGAGACTTTGGAGAACAGAGGCATTCACTTGGCGCCTCCCGAGTTCACAGTCAGGGAAAGCCGAACAGAGGTACTGAGAGGATAAAGACGAGCCCTGAAACACTGGTAGAAAGTTAATGGGTATAAAAGAAAAGGTAAGAGACTTCTGGCAGAAGAAATAGTGTGTATAGAAAACATGCTCATAAAAGTCAGACCTAATGACTTTTATTATATTAAGTAATTAATAATTTTGATGGTGTAGGAAAATATACTGCATACTTCAAACTGAAAAATTAACTTTAGGATATTTGGTATTTATAAAATTAAAAGTCATGGCTATATTATTTCTGCTTTCAACATTATAAAACATTTTGAAAATCATTAAGTATTTGTTAAGAGCAGGAAGACGAATTCTGTATTTAGATTATGCAATTATAAATGTTACTTTTAACTTTTATTTTGTATGCCTGGTTTTTCAAAAATATCTTTAAATAGGTGGCATCAATTTAAAATACATAATTTTAATTTACATTCTAAAACTAAATGATATTAATACTAAAATGATTTTTTAGAATAAAAATAAAATATAAATTTGTAAGGAAATAAATCTATCACTATGATTTTAATTAAGATATCTTTATTGGGCTGGCTGAGTGGCATGTTGGTTAAGAGCTGGCTTGGGACACTAGAGGGCCCCGGTTGGGATCCCACATATGAGGGTCAGTGACACTGCCCTCTACAGCTAAGATGCTGAACAACAGCTCAACCTGGAGCTGGGCTGCCGTGAGTCACCAGCGACGGCGTAGGATGCAGCCCCTGTGGCAGTGGGTTGCCATGGGCTACCGTGTGTAGCCAGCAGCCAGCCTGAGTGGCCAGCAGCTAGCGTGAGCGGCCCTCCAGAAGCCGGCAACTGATCTGCCTCGCCCGGGAAGAGCACAACGATGGTGCCAACTTGGGCCAGTGAAGCAACGTCCTCCACAACTAGACCGAAAACAAAAGGACAGCAACTTGTCTGTTCCCCTTCCCTGATTCCCCAACACTGTTCTCTCCCCCTCAATTTCCCAATAAAATCTTTTTTAAAAAAATCTTTATTTATAAAACAAATAAATAAATAAATAAGATAGTGAAGGAAAAAGTCCCAATAAAAAAGTAATGGTGGGCCAGCCGAATGGCTCAGTTGGTTAAGAGCTCGCTCAAGAGTGTGAGCTCTGAGCAACAGAGGTTCGAGTCCTGGCCCAAGCTAAAAAAAAAAAAAGGAATGGTTATTTGGTCATCTCTAAAGCTAAGTTGGTTTTCAACTAGGCTTCCACTAGTTGAATTACTATGCTTCCCTATTCCTTTACTTTGTTTACAAACTATTTCTCAGAACAATATTTCACATTTTAGTTTATAAATGAGACTTACTCATTCTATCAACAGATTTCTTACATACCATTTCCCCCTCCTTTTGAAATAAGCACTACATTGTAAAACACATATTTACAACCATCTTTAATTTAATTACTTGCTTTCATCAAAGAATGAATACAATTCCTCTTTCTTTAAAATAAGGAGAAAAAAAAACTCACCTCTAACAGGAGGTCTTTCTAGCTCAGAGTCAAGGTGAATTGGTGGAGAGATGTACGATACCTGTCCATGATGTGCCTGCCCTGTGGACCCAAAAATAAATGTTAGAAAGACATTGTAGTTATGTCTTTTTATTTATTTACTTAGTTAGTTTTATGATGTTACATTAACTCTCAACATACTGAATTAATAGCCATTATAGGGTGTAGACAGATCTATCCAAGCACAGAAACATTGTATGTCTTTTAAACATCAACCTTTGAATCAGTTCTTCTTATAGTATCCAGTTTTTGTGTGTGTGTGTTTTTTTTTGGGGGGGGGTGTTGTTGTTAAACTATGATTTTATTGTGGAGTGACACTCTAAAAGTACAATTAAAATAATTTACAAGAAAAGTGAAGGAAAAATTAAAAACAAAGTCATACAAAATACCAGTCCTGATTTTTAAGTGTTAGATTGTAAGTATTTCATCAATTTGCTATAAGCGTTTCTAAACACTCTCAATTCCCGCACTTATTCATTGTAGGCCAGTAATAAATAGGCTGCAGACTGGCATCCATGTCAGACAACACTTTGAGTAGCACTTACTTAGATAACTTTATAATCCTGATTAACTTTTTTTTTTTAATCTGAGCCATCCTGCCACCTGTTGGCAGCTCAGCTGCAGCTCAGCTCAGGCCGGGAATCGAACTGGCGACCCTGTTGCTCAGAGCTCGCACTTTTGAGCGAGCTCTTAATCAACTGAGCCAGTTGGCCAGCCCTTTAACTTTTATTTTTATGATTTACTCACATTACTTGAATATGACACTACTACTACCTGCTTATTGTATTTGATAGAAAAACAATAAATAACCACAACATAAAAAGCAGGAAGATGAATTCATTCTCTAGTCCTTACAAAGCAATAAATACGTATTTGTGATATTTCTGTCTTTTGAGTAAAGTATTAAAGCTGATTTGAAGGCTGAGACGCTGATTGAAAAAATTGCTAGCTTAAAAACAAAACATTTTTCTAATGCTCAAAGCAGCTATAGTTTGTATACTGATGATCCAGCAAGCAATTGGGATTTTAAGGCAAGCAAGCATCATTACAGAGTCAGTTCCATTTCTAAAGCTACTTTACATAAAGAAGGTTTCTGTAGAAGTGGAGGACCCACCACCTTCTCCCTACAATGGGAATATGCAGTTATATTTTACACATTTACTATACCAATTTACAGGGCTGTTAATCTCTTTTCCTAAACAAGGAAAGTTAATGATACATAGATTATGATAACAGTTAGAGTAACCTTCCCGTTTCAAGTAATATTCGACTTGTAATAAACTCTGCTGATTCCTCTTATGAGGCACATTTCAAATAATTAATATGGCTCCCTGTTGATAGAAGCTGCTGTTGCTCCCAGCATTTTCCGAGCTAACAGCAGTCACAGTGGAGCAGCTGTAATATACAGAGCCCCTCATAATGGTAACTAAGAATATTGTGCATTCACTGGTCATGTTTCAGTGGAACACTAAATGCACTACTATAAAGGAAATAATACGATGATTGTGCACTGTTAGCAGTCCTTGTGTAATATAGCTTATTAAAAACTTCAGATTATTTTAATTATAAAAACACCTGATGTTCCTACCTATATTGCATATTTTGTTGCAGAAACATTTTTGTTTTTAAGGTCCCATGTCATTACAAATGAATTGGTTTGAAATTTTATTGATCACGTAAATGAAAATAAGAATCTTTCACTTTGTGTTGGTTCAAAATAACCTCAGCATATAAGATATTGATTTCATGTCTAATCAAGGAACATGGCTTTCACCACAAATAATGTAAATGCCATGCACTCATGCATACATCATCTACTATAATGCAACCAACATTGCTATGAAGATTTAAAGGTTATTATATACATACTTTTAAATCAAAGAAACAAGTAGAGCAGATTAAGCAACTTGCTCAAACACATGCAGCTAATAAATAGCAAGGCCAGTGGCATTTTAACTCCAAATCTACTGTTTTCATCTATATCATATTTTTTCTCAAAGAAGTTCTCAGTATACTAAACCCGAAAAAAAAAAAAAAAACCATGTATAGATTTTAATGATTAAACTCGGACAAGTACCGCCTTTGGAACTGCCAGCCCTGCATTCAGCTTGTTACAGTGTCCCTTTGAATGCCACATTTGCCTCTGGTCTTGCGATAAGCATGTAATTCAAGAGTGCTGAAAGAGGATACTGTAGGCAGTATGAGATCCCAGTGCATACAAGTATGTCCCTAAGGGAAATGGGGATATCAAAGAACCAGTACAATGGGACGGGGATTACTGACAGTGAAGTCTTGAACTTGGTTTGCCAGAATAATCATTCTCTGTTCAAGGAGAAACCTAGCAAACTGCAGGATGAGATGTGGTAGAGAAAGCCACCAGGGTAGGAACTGGCTGAAACTTGGAGCCTTAGGGATGGTCCAAATGCAGTAATGGATTTCAATAAGGTGATGGAGATTTCTGATCTACAGAATAAAAGCTACAAATGATGCAGTGTTCTGTGGATGGAGTGCATTATTCTTAAAAAATATTTCCACTTTACTCTAGATCAGTGGTACTCACACATTTATCTCCACAAAAACACATAAAAGGTAATAAAACCTATTTTAATCTGTGCTTCACTAAGGCAATGATTCTCAGGGAAGTAATTGCTCTTCATCAAGGAGAGCATATGGAAACATAGAGAGAGGGATGTGCATAGTCTGAAAAACAAAGCAAAACAGTGACTCTCAAAGTTCCAACCCCCTCATTAAGAATTACTACAAAATAAAAGTAATAAACTAAACTCCAGTTAAAATAATAACTACCATAAATATTTCTGTTAGACTTTATGGTGAATAATATTCAACAACAATGTAATCAGTTCAAAAAGACGTTAGCAAGATAAAAAAGCATGAGAAACATGTATTGTTTTTAAAGATTTGACAAAAATTCTCCGAGGAAACATATCTGTTTTCATTTATCACATTTCCCACCACGATCTACTGTCTTACAGAAGCTTTGTATATCCAGATATGTAATTACTGCTTCTATCTTTGCCCTTATTTTTCCAAATTCAAAATATATATATCTGCTTATTTTTCCTCTTGAAATTTATTTCAGTTTTTTTTCCTGAATTTTAAAGCAAAAAAGTCATATTGAGATTTTTTTACTAGAATTACATTAATTCTATAAATTTGGAGAATAAACATTTAAAATATTTTGTCGTTATATTTTTTAATGGACCTGCATTGGTTTCCTTTTTAATAAGCAGGAATTAATCAATTTTTGAAGTTTTCTACATTTTGGTTACAAGACTATTTCATTGTTTATTGTAGGTATTCTATTTTCACCAAGTCAGATAAAATTTTTAAATCATCTTGATAACTTTCATTGAACTTTTCTGATGGTTACTGTCGGAATTAGTAGTTATTAACTTTGACCTTCCTAGCTAATTAGTGCTAGGTACACTGATAATAACATATTAGCTATTTTCTATTATCTTTATTTCGCATATGAAATGTACTCCCAGGTTAAGATTCATCTATATACGCTCACATTCAGGTTAAGAATTCATCTATATATTATGTATTTAATTATTTTGTGCTGCAGCATTTAAATTTTAAAGGTTGATTTTACAGATGCATTTTAGGGCATAGAGTTTCCTGGTGCTGCTATTCACCTGACATTTTACTTTAAGTTCCACCAAAGTACTTAAAAAGAGTAAACAATGTTTAATGATAGATTTATAAAAGAATTACAAAGACTTAAAAGGAAGAGAAAATAAAAGCTTCTTGGTTTTGCTAAGGGATCCAAAATCACAGTGGCAATAAGAAAATGGGTTGGGTAGCTCATGGTTCTGTTTTTACTTAATTTTTATTCTAGGTAAATGATACATTTTCATAGAGATGTCATATATGTATGTATATATGCTATATATCTATATTGACTAGAAAATATCTAATTTACATATACAATTCCCCCATTTCAAGTACAGAATTCAATAGTTTCTAGCACATTTACAGATTTGTGCAACCACTGCAATCAATTTGAGCCAGTTTTTATCACCGCACACACACACACAATCCAAAGCTCATCAGTACTCACTTGCCATTTCCTCCCAATCCACCCCGATTCTAGGTGAACACTTATCTACTTTCCATCTCTATAAATCTACCTATTCTGGACATTTCATATAAATGGAATTATACAAATACATACTTGATTGTGATCAGATACCTTCACTCAATATAATATTTCAAAGCTCATACATGTGGTAGCATGAATCAGTACTTCATTCCCTTTTGTAGCCAAATAGTATTCTGTTGTACATACTTGCCACATTTTATGTATTTTTTCATTGTATGTATTTTTCATATTTGGGATCATTTCCACTTTTTTACTATTTTGTAAAATGCTTCTCTGACCTTAATATACATGTTTCGTGTTGATATATGTCTGCATTTTTCTTGAATACACACACAGGGTGCCAAAAAAATGTATACACATTTTAAGAAAGGAAAACTATTAAAATTGTAATATACAGCATATACCAACAACAAAAGATGAATACAAGTCACATTTGACTTCTGCAATTACAAGAGGTGCTCAAAGTGGTTACCATCAGTGTCTATACACTTTTGATTACGGCGAACTACTGCTTAAGCAACGTTGACCAAAGTGTCCACTTGTATACATTTTTTGGCACCCCTGGTATGTATGTATGCGTGTGTGTGTGTGTGTGTGTGTGTGTGTGTGTGTGTGTGTGTGTGTGTATCAAGCAGTGGAATTGCTGAGTCATATAGTAACTCTATGCGTAAACTTTTGAGGAACCATTAGTCTGATTTCCAAAGTAGCTGTTCCACTTTATTTTTCATTAGGAGTGCATCAAGTTTCCAATATCATGAAGAATTTTTTTTCAGGTGGTAATGTAGTTAAATCAGGGTTGATCATATTTTTATATTATTAATACTAAGACGATTGTGAAATCTGGGAAAGGAATGATCTCCCCAAGAGGATATAGAAAGATATAACAGAGTGTAGGTAAAACATTATAAGGTTCATC